TTCCTTGTACAAATTTGCCATTTTGGTTCTCCATTTTATTTTCACAACCACCCTGCGAGGTAGGTCACCTAAGAGAAAGAAACAGAGACAGAGAAAGAGGCTGACCCATGGCCACTCATTCAGCATCTAACTATTTGACAGGTACACTACTTCCGAACACGGAAGCTCCACTTCTAGGTATTTTTTAAAAAAACTTTCCTTGTACAAATTTGCCATTTTGGTTCTCCATTTTATTTTCACACCCACCTTGCGAGGTAGGTCACCTGAGAGAAAGAAACAGAGGCAGAGAAAGAGGCTGGCCCACTGCCACTCATTCAGCATCTAACTATTTGACAGATACACTACTTCTGAACACAGAAGCTCCACTTCTAGATATTTTTTTAAAAAACCTTCCTTGTACAAATGTGCCATTTTGGTTCTCCATTTTATTTTCACAACCACCCCGCAAGGTAGGTCACCTGAGAGAAAGAAAAAGACAGAGAAAGAGGCTGGCCCACGGTCACTCTTTCAGCATCTACCTATTTGACATGTACACTACTTCCGATCACGGAAGCTCCGCTTCTAGGTATTTTTAAAAAAACCTTCCTTGTACAAATTTGCCATTTTGGTTCTCCATTTTATTTTCACAACCACCCTGCAAGGTAGGTCACCTGGGAGAAAGAGACAAAGAAAGAGGCTGGCCCACGGTCACTCTTTCAGCATCTAACTATTTGACAGGTACACTACTTCTGAACATGGACGCTCCACTTCTGGGAATTTTTTTTTAAACTTCCCTGTACAAATTTGCCACTTGCTGCTGTTCTTGTAACTGCAGTCTGTTGGGTTGCTACTCTTTAATCCAGATTCGTTTTGTCCTTTATTTAGTTCTTTCTTTTTCCGTTGTTGTCGTTAAACCCGATTTCGCTTCCTTTTATTTAGTTCATCTGATCAAAACATTTCTCTCCTGTCCTTCCACCCAGCTCAGGATTCCTGAGATGTCGCTTAGGGGCTGCTTGGCCATTTTTCAAATTTTATTTTTAAAAAAAGATTGCTTGGACATTTTTCAATTTTAAAAAAAAATCTACAAAACACATTGTTATTATTTTTTTAAAACAAACGTAGCAATGGGACCTCCCGCGATCCCTCTCCTAGCTTGGAATGAAGGGAACACATCCACGATTCAGCCTGTCAATCAATCCATCCCTCAATCGGTTTAACCCTTTAACTTCCCCCCTCCAGTGCGGCGGCGGCGTCCCCCATGGCCACTTCCCTGCTTTCCCCCTCGCAGTCCCCGCAGCGCCACCCTCCCCTGCCCGCGGCCTACCTGGCGGGCCGGAAGGTGGACGGAAGCAGCAGGTCCCTCCGCTTCTCCTCTCCCCGCCACCGCCGGCCGAGTCCGTCTCCCTCAGGCGCCGGACCCCGGCCCGACCGAGCCCCTGCCGCTCCCGCAGGCCGAGAGGCCGCTCCCGATTAGCTCCATGAGACGCCCCCGCCCATTGGCTCCCCGACCCGCGCGTGCCCCGCGCTCGCTTCCTCATTGGTCGGAGGGAAGCAGGGGCGGAGAAGACGGCGGGAAAAGGAGGGGGCAGAAGGGGGCTGCGCGCGCATATCCGGGCGGCGCTGGCCGCTCGGGCGCGCCCACCTCTCGGGGTTCCCACCTCCCGGTGGGGCCTGGAGGGCTCCCGGGACCGCAAGGAATTTCTAGGGAGCGGTCCCGCCTGGAGAACGTGGCTGCTTTTTGGACGGTGTGGTTCCATGGCGTTGTGCCCCAAATCCTAAAGGGAGGTTTGACTCTCAAAAGCTTACCCCCTAGGATCTAGGGGTGTCAAACACGGGGCCCCCGGAGGGCTTCTATCAAGCCCGCAGTGGAACTGGCTGTCTTCTGCTGCTGCTTCCAGTTCTGCTGCTGCTGCCGCCATAAGGTGGGTCTGCAGTTTACAGATGCACACCTGAACAGCAGACTCAAGATTGCAACAGCACAGACATTTTGATGCAGTAATTCAGAGCAAGAGGTGTCAGTCATCGGACACTGTTAAATAAACAAAATATTGCAAGAGTGCTGATGTTTTAAGCATGTTTTTATTTTAAGTAAAAAAAAACCCTCTGTGTTTGTGTCCTTTATATAAAGTTGATATCTCCGCTACCTGGCATTACCTTTATGACACACGTGGCCCGGCCCGACAAGGTCTCATTCATGTCAGATCCGGCCCTCATAACAAATGAGTTCGACACCCCTGCCCTAGATGTCTTGAACAGTCTCCAAGGTACTGCTGGAGCCTACCAGAGCTGGTCTACTGCAGACCAGCACAGGCAAACGCCTGAAAGTATCTTGGAGGAAATGGCGGCTTCAGAGGGTGGACTCTACCGGACGTCATCCCTTAGGTTTGCCAGCCTCCAGGTGGGGCCTGGGGATCTCCCGCTTTTACAACTGATCTCCATCTGACAGAGATCAGCTCCCCTGGAGAAAATGAGTCAACCAAAAAAGGGATCACAGTTACAGATTCATACTACCAAACAAAGAAACACTGTGATAAAATTGACAGTGTTTCTTTGATAGTATGGAGAAAATGGCTGCTTTGAAGGGTGGACTCTGTGGCATTGGACCCGGCTGAGGCCCCTCCCCGTCCCAAACCCCGCCCCCTCCTGGCTCCACATACCCCAAAAACCTTCAGGTATGTTCCCACCCAGACCTGGCATCTCTCACATCCCTGCTGAGTTTCTCTGCCCTCCCCAACTCTCCAGGAATTTCCTAAGGCACAGTTGGCAACCCTGTATGCCCCACCAGAGACTTTACTGCTGCAGGTTGACTTGACAGTGTAAGACAAGGCGACAGAAGCCACTGCAAATAGATGTAGTGCTAAGGGCAGACAGAAAAGCAATTAAGAAAATGGCAAGTGCTGGGTTTTTTTTAATGTCTTCTTCCCCCTTCTTTGTTTTGAAGGGAAACCAGAGTTGCAATAGCATAATGTCAGTGTCAAGACTAGGAGTGGCAACTCCAGGTTAGAAAATTCCTGGAGATTCAGGGGCGGACCTCAGTGGAGATGTGATAACATTGAGTCCACACTCCAAAACAGCCGTTTCCTGTGTAGGGGAACTGATTCTCTGTCATCTAGAGATTAGTGAGAAGAAGAAGAGATTGGATTTATACCCAGCCCTTCACTACCCAAAGGCATCTCAGAGCGGCTGACAAACTCCTTTCCCTTCCCCTCCCCAGAACAGACTCCCTGTAAGGTAGGCGGGGCTGAGAGAGCTCTGAGAGAAACTGCTCTTTTTCAAGGACAGCTCTTGTCAGAACTATGGCTTGCCCAAGGTCATCCAGCAGGTGCAAGCGGAGGAGTGGGGAACCAAACCTGGTTCTCCCAGAAGAAGAGGAGGAGGAGATTGGATTTATACCCCATCCTTCACTCCCCAAGGGTGTCTCAGAGCAGCTTACAAACTTCTTTCCCTTCCCCTCCCCACAACAGACACCCTGTGAGGTGGGCGGGGCTGAGAGAGCTCTTGACAGAAACTGCTCTTTTTCAAGGACAGCTCTGACAGGACCAAGGCTTGCCCAAGGTCATCCAGCAGGTGCAAGCGGAGGAGTGGGGAATCAAACCTGGTTCTCCCAGATTAGAGTCCATGCACTTAACCTCTACACCAAGCTGGCTCTCTTAGATATGAGTCCAGTTGCACCTTGGAGGCCAAAAATGTTTCCGGGGTGTAAGTGTTCTAGAGTCAAACTTCCCTTCATCAGATACAAGATTAGTTGCAATTCCAGGAGCCTTCCAGCCCTCACCAGGAGGCTGGCAACCAAATTACTGATCAACAATATTGACTGAAGCACCTGCAAATTGGGGCCAGGTGCAGCACCTGCTTGGACCTGCCAAGATGTGCTGCGCAGAGAAGTAGATTTCCCGTTTCTAAACAGAAACGACCTCTGTTGAGAGGCTTGGTTTGACTTGTCGAATACAGAGATGGATTTGCAGAGGAAAGTGCCTTGTTTAAAGACAACAGCTTCCACTCAGCTGCCACTGTCTTCAAGAGAGATGGCCATTTTGTTGATGCAATTGAAAATGCAGGATGAAATAGTTAAATAATGTATGAGTAAAGGTAAAGGTAAAGGTTCCCTTGCTCGAAAGCCAGTTGAGTCCGACTCTAGGGTTGCGGTGCTCATCTCCGTTTCAAAGCCAAAGAGCCAGTGCTGTCCGAAGACGTTCCCGTGGTCATGTGGCCGGCATGACTAAACACCAAGGCGCACGGAACGCTGTTCCCTTCCCACCGAAGTGGTACCTGTTTATCTACTTGCAATTTCTTGCTTTCGAACTGCTAGGTTGGCAGGAGCTGGAACGAGAGACGGGAGCTCACTCCGTCATGCGGCACACTCGGGTCTCGAACTGCTGAACTACCGACCTTCCACAGCCTGCAGTTCAGCGTCTTAACCACTTGAGCCACCGCAAAATATAGGTTATAACACAGATCTGTCAAAATGGAGTAAAACATGGAATGTGAATATCAAGTTGACTAAATCTGTTATCATTTAAAGAAAATCTGTATAAAATGTTCTATAGATGGCACCTAACCCCAGATAGGTTAGCTAACATGTATAAAACAGATGCTGGTAATGTAATAATCATGCTGGATCATACTATCATATGTGGTGGACATGTAAAAAAGTTCATAAATACTGGATTGGAGTACATACTCTCTTACAATCAGTGTTGAATACTACAATACTTTTTTAAACCAGAAATATTCCCATTAAGCTGTTTACCAGATGACTTAGATAAGAACCATAGATACTTTATTTATTTTGAATGTTATAACAGCAGCCAGAATCTTATTTGCAACGACATGCACTGAAAATCCCAACACTTAATGAGTTGATAACGAAGATTATGGAATTATGTGCTGAAATGTACAGATTGACAAATATACTAAAAGGAAAAATGGAAGAAGAATTTAGGGACCATGGAGGGCATTTTATGACTGGTTAAAACATAAGTCCTGAGAAACTAAGACTGAATGAAGAACAATAAGAAAGATGGTTATAATAGTTATATGAAACTTTCAGGAGTAGATTTGGATGCAGAATGTTAAATTGGTTTTTTAATACATAGCTTTGTACTCTTTCGCCCCCCCCTTCTATTCCCTTTCCCTCTTTCTATATATAAAGTAATAAAATTCTTTTTTAAAAAAACGGAGAGAGAGAGAGAGATGGCCCTTTGTTTTACATACTTCTTCCCACACCTCTCTACAAGAAAAGCAAGCTTCCCGCACTCCTGTTCAGAATGACAATTCCAGAGGGGTGGAAAAATAAAACGGCGTAGAAGAATTAGATTCTATAATTACATTGCAAATTAAAGGCCCCGTCACACAGGCCAGATAATCACTGGTCCATCTAGCTCGGTTGAATCTAATCTGACTGGCAGTTGCTCTCCGGGATCTGTAGCAGAGATGTGGAGATGGGTGCCTAACCCTCTGAGCTCTGCTTCCTCTCCCAGAAAACTATCTGCTGCTGATCAGGCTATTGACCCTACTGAGCCAGGAAGGGGCTCTCCATCCCCTTCCCTGTAAAGCATACAGACAGAGACCATTGTCTTGCATGGAAGCCGCCATAGGGGCATTGTGCTGGGAGACAGGGCAGGAACGTGTCTTTTAAAAAGCCGGGTTGCTTCTTTGTGTTGAAAGTACTCCTAATAAAGACTTGGGGACAGCTGACAAAACAGGACAGTCAGGGCTGGTCTGTGCAGGCAGAGGAATGAAGTGACAGAAGCTGGAGGGGGCTGAATCGGTTGCATCTCTTCAGAGTGCAGATGCCAGTGGGAGAGCCAGTGTGGCGTAGCGGTACAGAGTGTCACTCTAGGTTTGGGGAGATGTGAGTTCAAATCCACATTCAGCCATGACATTTGGAAGCTGACCTTGGACCCACCTTACAGATTTTGTAGTGTATTCCAAAGCTGCCATGGAATGCATGATGTATGTGAAGCATCTCATTGACTTGTAATGTTAAGCTTCGTCCTGGGCTAAAATCCAAATACATCCAATCGTGTTACTAGCCAGGAAGCACCTAACCAATCACCTTCAAGCAAGCTCCCTGAGCGGGAACGTCCGTGATTGGTCCTTATCTGAACAACCGTATTGGTTGGTATTTGTACAGTGGGTGTGGCTATATTAGCCGGGAATGTTTAAAAGCAGGACAGCTGCAATGTAAGGCTGTTTTGGCTATCAGATGTTGATCCGTGTTGGAGTTGTGTTCGAATTGAAGAATAAAGCTGTGTTCTTGCTGAATCACTCTCCAACTTCTTTGTTAAGCGAGTGACTTAACATATATTTAATAGGAGCCCCCCCCCCCAGTATTTTGTAAAAGTTCCAATTTTTCCATTAAGA